TATATATATATATATATATATATATATATATGTGTGTGTGTGTGTGTGTGTACAGTATATATAAGAATATATTTGTTTCTTGTGCCTTGATTTATGTTATGTTTGTAAAGATTTGATTTATTTTTGTTTTAGTTAAAGGGGTATCGTTTAAAATACATGAATTTGCAGATTATTATTTTTGATTGATTGATTACGTTCATGTTCTTATTTTACAAATAAATCAGACGTTACTCAACAGTTACTCAGTACTTGAGTAGTTTTTTCACCAAATACTCTTTCACTCTTACTCAAGTAATTATTTGGAAGACTACTTTTTACTTTTACTTGAGTAATATTGTTCTAAAGTATCAGTACTCTTACTTGAGTACAATATTTGGCTACTCTACCCACCTCTGATCTGTATTCATGCATATACAAAATCTTCACATCTCATTTTTCTTACAGAGGGGGGATCTCTTCAAAGACATTCTGATTTTTGCAAATGATGAAGCTATTCTAGAAGAAACCATCAGGAAGTCCTCTTTTTTTGACTGGACCCAGTACATGTGTGTTGGTAATGGCACTAAGATTTTTTTTTCATATTCTCTTGAATAGTAATGTGAACATCAGTGCATTTACCTTTTATTCTATTCTTTTGTCAGCACGCTGCTCTTACAATTTGGCCCTATGATCATTGAAATATTACTGTGGCACTAATGCACTGTTTGCAGACTTAAAATGTAACCTTTTTTTGTAATATAGGAGTGTGCCATTAACATACCTGCACCACCAACAAGACAATGGAGAAAAAATACAAAACTCAGAAACCTAAATGTGATTTTTGCACTGCTGTCTTCAAGGTACAAATTTATTTTTAGTTTTTTTCCCTTTCTTTTATCATGTCCAAAGTCCTCCTGTTATAATGGCATATCAAAGCCCCAAAAATTTATGAGTGCAAAGATCCGTATGTCAGTGCCATTACAGTATGTGAATGATTATAGGACCACTTTGGAAGAGCAAAGTCCGAGTAAAACAAATCAGAAACGAGAAGATAGACGGACAAGATGTAATGAGAGGGGTTTATTCATATCTTAAGAGAAACATAAACTCTCAATTCAAAGACAAAAATACCAGATCAGGTTTATGATGGCTGTACATTTATGTTTCAAACAAGGTTGAAATCACTTCTGATAGACTGTATAACTGGAATCTTAAATCATGTTTGAATAAAACATTTTCTCAGAACTCAAAATAAATACAAATACCAAAATTAAGTTTCACACATTTATTTATAGCTTTTCAGTAAAAAAAAAATTTTCATTATATCTTTCCAAGGAATCAACAGTCGCCATATGGAGATATTGACAGCACTTGCATCAGAAAAACACGTGTCCTACCACAGACTGGCAGTGTGTCACATGATGATACTGGAGGATATATCCAACCTTCCCTCCATAGAGAGGTAAGGCCTAGCTATGCAGTGATATCTTAAGTGTCTAATGTGTGACAGAAATCATTATTTTAAATTTAATAGTTAATTAATGAAGCAGGATTTTGCTCTGCTCTGCTCTGCATCAGCTCGGGGATCTCATTAAGCTCTCTTGATGAATCACACACTGGCTTGGTGTGTCAGATGTGGAAGTTTGCACAGAACAACAATGCTGTCAGGATGATCCGGAACATGCTCGCTAACTTCCCGTCCTACTGCGTGCTGGACACAGAGGGAAAGCCTGTGTCCTGGATCCTGACCTACGCGTCATGTTCGATAGGCGTGTTGTACACTCTGCCAGAGCACAGAGGGAAAGGCTACGCCAAAGTCCTGGTCAGCACTATGGCCAAGAAACGCCACGCTGACGGCTACCCAGTGTTCTGCTTCGTAGAGGAGGAGAATAAGGTTTCCTACAGGCTCTTTAAAAACCTGGGCTTCACTGAGGACCCCTCACACAGGGAGGCCTGGTGTGGATTTAATGATTTTTTAATTCCTTAGAGAAGATGACAATTAGAAAAGGGGAAAATGCTAGTCAGAATGTTATGTGTTCAGTTTAGGTTCAGTTGCCTTAAACCGAAACAACCTGCTTCATGGACACTTCCTTAAAGATCTCTCTTTACGCATTTCACCTCTTTTCCATGGAAGCACTTGATGCATTACTGGATCTGAAATGAAAAGAAAAAGAATTAGTGTAAATGACAAATCTATGTTTTAGAATAATGGGAAATGATGTCCTCATTACACACTGTTAAATTTACCTTACATTTCACTTTACATTGATAAGAATATGATAATATGATAAGAAAACTCGATGTTCTTCTACAAAAACACAAGATATCCAAGTTTTCTTCCAATGTCTGCAGAGCATTCTGATTTGTTTTCTATGTCTGATAGATGTAGACATCAGTGCCTGTTTACAGTCAGCGTTTCACCGAGCTCTGTTTGTGTTAAACACCTACCAGCACCATGGGAGAGCGCTTTATGTTTGATGTGTTGAAATCTGTTCCTAAGATCAAGTGCCTAAATAATGTTTCATAGTTGTAACATCTGAGGAGCAGGATTGTGATCATATTTGCTTTGACATAGTTCGATTTTGTCTGACATGCATGGAGGAATGCAATATACTTGTTCTTTCACTCTCATGATATTATTGCTCTTGTTTTTGTTGTTTGTAGTGTCTGTAGTGGAAATTCTAACTTCAGTGTAATACCTTGTAAAATATTGATAATCAATACCATTTTTTACCACGTGAAAAAAACTGACATTAAGGGTTTATAATTACATTTTTTTGATTAAAAGATAAATATAACAAGACTTTACCATGACAATGACTTTTTTTTCTTGGTTAGTAGCAGAGAACAGCAGAATGACTGTGGTAAACTTTGACGATAGCGAGAAAGCGCAGCCAGTATGAGTGTACTGATAGTGCAGGAAAACAGCATCAAAACCGTTTGAAATATTCAGAAGCAATATGTATTAATAAATCGACCAGACTGACTGGGGAATTGCCAAAAGTGATATCCAAGATCAGGTCAATAACAATATAATTAGACAGTCTTATTGCAGGTATTTCTGAATAAAATCAGTGGTAAACAAAATGTAAATTCTTTTCAAAGGAATAAAAACAAAAGTTCGGATTACTTTACCTTTGCTCTGTAAACACTTCCAGACGAACCAGCCACCTTTTCCAGTACTCCGACATCAGCTCAGAGCTCAACTGATGAGCATGGGCAGGTGAGCCATCCTTGTAGGCCACAACTATGAGTCCATTTTCAACCTGCAATGAGAAGACATCAGTGGGTATATGGTTGGTTTATGTGTGTGACACTGTGGCAGACATACAGTGATCATGGCTTTCCGGTTGAGCATTAAGGAAAATCCTGGTGGAAAGCGGAGCATTAAAAGATCATCACATCATTTATCTCAGTAGATCACCTGGTAGTTGTAGTTTCCATCACTGTTCAAAGCCCCGGCATAGGCTGCCACCTGAATAGGGTTGTCATATGTGTTGCTCAGGAATGGTTTGGGCTTCTCTGAGGTCTTCCAGTCAATAACACATAACACACCCCTGCGGAAAAAACAGTCAAGTCAAGTCTGTTGTGGAAAAAGTGAAGTCTACCTTTGTCTGCAAATTATATTTACCTGTAGCGAGCAACACAATCCACAATGCCCAGATAGTTCAGTGCGTCATGTTGCACAGTGCTTTCAATGGCTCTCACTGCTCTGACATCCCCCAGTATGTGAGAGATGCTCTGCATGTATCCCTGTACCTCAGGTGGATACTCTGAACACTCTGAGGAAATTTTGTCCTCCGATGTTGTGCCTGATGTCAGGATGTCCTCCACAGCTGAATGGAAAATCTTCCCTTGCCTAAACAAATCTGATTGAAGACAAAAACATTGGTCACTTCTCACAGTTTGTCCTGCCTCAAACAAACCCTGTATCCAAGTTTCCACACCCACCCATAATTCAAAATCAGCTTATGGAAACTTACTCTGACTGTATTGTTTAAAGCCTTCCTCTCCGAGCTCTGCGATCATCCTCCTCTTCCACCTCTCCAAATAAAAGATCTGCTCTGGGGAAAGGGTCTGCTGAAGAATGTGGGTCACACTGGGTAGGAAAGACCTGTCTTGGCCCCGGTTTAACGAAATCCGGGTTGGAGGTCCTGACTCTGGCTCCTCTGTTTCAGGAGTCTCCTCGCAGTGTAAGAAGGGATGGAGAGTTTTGGGTGCCCTCTTCTGTGGTCTGGAGGGCGCCTGAGCTTTGACAACAGGTCCATAGATGTGGTCATCCTCCGCTAGGAGGGTCTCGGGGGTTTGGGAACTGACCCTGGATGACATGACGGACTTCACGAGAGAAGAGTAGCGCTCACTGTCCACTGAGCTGTACGGGCTGGGTCTCTTTGGGGATGTTAGGCAATGGCAAGCAGAGAAGTTGCTCGCAAAGAGGAGAGAGGTGCATTGAGGGACAATGATGCCCCCAACGCACACCACGCGTTTAATAATGAACATTTTGACGACTTTTATACAACTAGCGTAGCAGACAATAACTTACTAGCTAACGAACTATACAAAAGTATGGTGTTTTAACAGTACATTTAAGATGTCTCTTTCATTTTGGTGATGGTACTCGCCCCAACGTGTTCACGAGAGAGTCGTCCAAACAAACTCAACTGTTTCCATACGACCTTCCTCTTCGGTTGCACACATTTCCGTAGCTGGGAGTTGTAGTTCCGTGCGTGGTTCATATGTTTGCATTTTTAAAAGAAAAAACTACATGACCCATAATGCCCAGTGTATCATTGAAATACATCCGCGCGGTTATTGGGCCAGAGTTATTTTCAGTTACTAACTAATGATAACAAAACGTAACGTTAACATTGCTGTTTATAAAGAAGTTAACGCTATTTTTTGTATTAAATCGCACGAATAGAAATGCGACATAACTGACCAGGTTAAAAACTAACCGTAGCTCTTGTAAATTTGACGTTGTCTTGTTACATTTACTTTAAGGCGGGATTTAAACTGACATCATCAGGATGGGGGCGAAAAAAACCGTTTGACAGCTCGTCAGGCAGCTAACCAGTCAGCCGACGGACAGCTTCCTGCATATAGTTTTGTTATTTGGGTTGTGGGCCTGTTCTTGCCGTTCCGTCGATTTAAATCCCACCATGACATCCACAATAGACGAAAGCAATAAGGAAAAGGTAAGGGAAATGGGTCTCGGCATTTAAATTGCACCAAAAAGCCAGCCCTGGTAGCATTTAGGTAGCTAACACTAACGGTTGCTTTCTGGCTAAGTTGTTGCCGCTAACTTGTTGTTTTCTGTCTGCATAAGGCTAGCCCTTAGCTAAAGCTAGCTAACATTTAATCGATAAAGCTATGAAAAAGTGTGTAACGGTATAGGAGTGGTGTCAAATTGCATTTATTTAAAAGGTGTTATTTGCTTGTTTGTTACCGTACATACTGATCGTGTTAAGACATGCAGTGATTGACGCCAATTGACGTAAAAGTGTCAGAAAAGTGATAAAATTTGCCTGGCATTAAGTTATGTTTTCCTCGCTTCCGCTGCTGTTTAACTCAGTTTGAGGAGTGTGTTGCAGAGCTGTGCAACAGTGGACTGTGACAACTCGGTGGACTTTATTGAGCTAAAACTGTTATCAATCTGACAGGAATTGTCGTTTTTGAGAGGTGTTGATTCAACGTTACGTTCACTTTGGAGGATGTAGTTTGTGGCGATGTGATATACTGAAAGGAGTTCCTAATAATTTGGTCATCCCATTCATATCAGTGACACAAGACATCAATATATGCCATCTGAATGGCCATTGTATCAACACCTCTTTAAAACAGTTACAACAAAAATTGACCTGTATGGCCTTCATGGTGGGTGTACCTGAATAAACTGACAGCTGAGTGTAAGGTGTATAGCTTCACCAGCAAGAGAAGGAATAGTAAAGACTGTGTTTAGCCTATTCCCATGCTTCAGTATAACAGATCAACAAGGGTGTGGATCCAGGCTGAAAGCCAAAGAAGAACTGGAGTCTGTGCTTATTGTTGAGATCCGAAATAATCTGCCTCCAGCCTTTTACCCAACACCCCCCAGACACTTCAAGCTCCAAACTCATGGAAGAATGATTTCTAAGAGCCCCTGTGCACATTAGGAATTCAAACAAAATGTAACATTGAACTCTATGGATTGAGCTTGACCTCTCGGGCTCTATGGATTAAGACTCCCTTCTGTATCTCTAGCCTCCAACCTTACTTTGTCCTCACTGTAAAGTTGTAGCCACTCAGGACTGGCGAGTGTTGAATCAGATAGAGGGCTGATGACTGATCAAAGTGATGACTTTGTGCTCTCAACATTGTTGCAGCTAAAAGAACATTCCTCTGACCTGTTTGTATATTGTCAAGCTGGGAAAGACTCCAGACACTGAGGATTTGTAGTGCTGCTTTACTGGTTAAGACCTAAATGAAACTGTTATACATTTTAACTATGAATAGTGACTGATAATTGAACCAATATTCAAAATGTGTGCTGCTACACACAGTCCTACTTTTTATTTAACACTTTAAATTCTTAGTACCCCATAGAAACATCAGATAGGCAATGCTTTAGCTACCTCTGTCTAATCAAACTAAAATAAAATGAATCAAATTGCATTTATGATATTGACAAGAATGATGATAATCAGACGAGACACAGGTTGTATATTTCTTGAGAGACACATTTAAAACCAAGTGACCACAAACAAAAAAATGCATCTGTACATAACAAGTGATATTTTCTGATAACCACTTTATATTCTTTCTCCCTAGATGCGCTCTGTGTCGGTGGATCTGAACCATGATGCCTCTCTTCTCATTGACATTCCTGATGCACTCTGTGAACGGGATAAAGTCAAGTTTACTGTCCATACAAAGGTAAAAAAAAAAATTGTACCCCCTACATAAACATACTATTTTCAAAAATAGTAAATAACATTGTCAAAAACCTTAATTGTGTTCCCAGACCACACTTAGCTCTTTCCAGAAGCCAGAGTTCTCTGTTCCCAGGCAACATGAAGACTTCATCTGGCTACATGATACTCTGGTTGAGACAGAGGACTATGCTGGCCTAATAGTAAGTTGGACCACGTGCAGCAGACATGACTCACATATATAGACAGAGGCTGTCATGTCACTATTTGTCTTTGGTGCCTGTATACTTAGTGAAAAATATTTTTTTACAGAAGTTTAATAGCATATAACGCATTAACACCATTTAACCTGTCACAAATCTGAAGTATTTTTTTCCGGCTTTATCATTCATAGATTCCTCCTGCACCCCCAAAGCCTGACTTTGAAAGCCCAAGAGAGAAGATGCACAAACTGGGGGAAGGTGAAGCCACCATGACCAAGGAGGAGTACAATAAAATGAAGCAGGAGCTGGAGGCGTGAGTGTGACACTCAAACAAAACACCTGACATTGCTTTGTATTGTTTAGACAGCATCACATTAGATCCTTTTCAAACGTCAGTATGATATTGTTATACAAAAACCAAACTTCCTCTTGCTGTGTCTGTTTTCTTTTCAGTGAGTACCTGGCTGTGTTTAAGAAAACTGTCCAAGTGCACGAAGTCTTCCTGCAGAGATTGTCCTCTCACCCCATTTTAAGCAAAGACAGAAACTTCCAGATTTTCTTAGAGTATGACCAGGATGTGAGTTCCCCATAATGCTGACTTCCTTTCCTGAGTTGTCAGTTGGAAAGAGAGGAAGTAGAGTTTACTGGAGACTTGTGACACATGGCTTACATCCTGCTGTGATCAGCAGTTATGCTTATCTTTGTAGTCTTTGTTAGTTGGTGGCTGTTGTTTTTGAGTTTGGCTAAGAGTTAAAGAGAAAACTCATCTGTTCAGACTGCACCTCGGCCCATAAAATAAAATTAGGGAGGGGGAAAAAAACCTTCCTCTATCTACTATTGTCTGTAAATCTAGCACTTTATAGTAGATCAGCATATTTGATGTACTTGCGTGAATGCTGCACTTTTTTGGGTTGTACCCACATGGTTAAATGTACTTATTTTAATTTGCCTTGTATAAAAGCATCAGCTACATAAATGTAATTTAAAGTAGTTAAAATCCTTATACACTTAGGTACTAGTCTGATGAAAGAGCATGAACCACATGTATTTGTGCACCACGCCGTGACACAGTGATTAAAAACAATGAACTATTGTCACAGTTACAACCATTACTTCAGTTCCCTTTGTAGTTCCCACAACAACATATACTGTAATAAATCAAATTCCACTTTTAGAGTTGATATCTAACCTGTCTAAATTCTGTCATTGTAGCTCACTGTGAGAAGAAAGAATGCCAAGGAAATGTTTGGAGGATTCTTTAAAAACATGGTGAAGTCAGCAGATGAGGTCCTTATCTCAGGAATAAAGGTGAGGCCCATGCACGATCTGTTTACATTATTTGCATAGCATCATTACAGATGCAGTATCGTATCCACTTCCTCAATTACCTTTGTCTGTTTGTGTGTGTGTGACCTGTACAGGAAGTGGATGAGTTTTTCGAGCAGGAGAAGACGTTTCTGCTTGACTACTACAGCAAGATAAAGGATTCCACTGCCAAAGCAGAGAAAATGACCCGCGCGCACAAAAGTATAACACAGTTATATATTAGATTTTGAGTTAAGTAGAATAAGTGAATGAATATTTGTAACTGGCTTAGTTTTGGCTTCTGATTTCTGTTGCTACAGATATTGCGGATGATTACATTCACATCTCTGCCACTCTGAGCACTCTCTCTGCTGAGGATACCACAGCAAATAAAAAGTGAGTTTTATGTATAATTGGATGATTTTTATGCAAAGATGCACCTGCTGTTGAAGATTATAAGTGATTGTTGTGTTTTTGGCCCTATCTTGTGCAACAAATCACTGCTTTTGTGGATGATTTTCAAAAGCTAGATTAAGGTGATATTTGCATGCACATAGTTTCAAATCACGTCATTAGCAAAGACATAACTGCAGAGTTTTACATGTTAATATCTTTACTTTCTTCTCAGGCACCTGGAGAAGTTGTCAGACCTGTTTGAGAAGCTCAGAGTAAGAACAGCCCCCATTGTAAATATTGCTCTTATTTGTAGATGCGTTGTAGTATCTACTATGTGTCCTTATTTGTGTCCCTGCAGAAAGTGGAGGGACGAGTAGCATCTGACCAGGAGCTGAAACTCACAGAGCTGCTAAGATATTACATGAGAGACATCCAGGCCGCCAAGGTGAGACATGTTAATCTTCTGCCTTATAAGAGATGCACGTATGCTCCTTATTTTAAGAAGTTTACATGTTGCTGTATCTCAATCACTATGCGACCCATTCCCCCCAGACAGAACTATACTCATCCAAATAACAAAAGCTCTGCTATTTGCCACGGATCAGAGCTTAGTATCAGTCCTCATTGTTCTCAATAAGCAAATCTGAATGAAGATTTATGGGGTAACGATGAACAGAAAATAATCTGCATTACTCAGAGGAGCAAGGCAGCCATTTTCCAGGCAATGTGGGATTAGAGACGCACATAATTGTCGTATTCAGCATGAGGATTAATTGAGTATTTATTCAGATTTAAATAATTGCATTTGAGGAGCAGTGAGAAACCCTGCTA